TCCAACGCTTGGGAACATGGTTAAACGATGTCCGGAACACTGACATCCTACTGACGTCCACCGCACCCTTCCCAACTGTCCGCATTGCCAAGCACATTCATTTATCGTATTTGCCCGATCGGTCATATGCTCATCCACGAAAGCTGAATCTACCGCTATGTGGACATGCCAGGCACGCATTTGAAATTCGGCAACTCTATCATCTTCAAAGTTATCACTACCCCCTTCACCATAGCTGCCACCACAAGCAACATCACTACTGCTGACACACCGGATACCGAACTATATTTCTTATGCCGTCACCGCCCATGCACGTTACATATCGGCCTTGTAGGTTATTTGTGAATCCATCGTACTAAGTCTGACGAGCCAGTGCCAGGAACACCCAAAAGTGCCTGTCTGCACCTTTTTAACTGCCCGCACTGACCACTGGTCACAAGCCCCTTCAGTCCTCCGGCGGTAAATCACTGCAAACTAAACCTCAATGAGACAAACGAACCAGTCGCGCATCACCCGCCACAACCGCATAATAAACATTAATCACGTATGCTGGAAGCCTGTACTTCAGTTCCTCCTCCATCTAGCTTCTGGAGCATTACCGCATATGAAATCAGAGCAACCTATCCCCTTTGTCTAAAGACCTAGTGTGTTTTGAGGGGTCAAGTCATGTGTGACATGTGTAGACGGACACTTTCAGTCGCTGCGCTCGATTGCAATATCACTTAGTTGAGAGACTCGGACAACCAACTAGTCCGCTGGAGAAGGAAGAGTGAGCAAGGTCGAATCGCCTATCTTTCTGAAAAATAGGGAAATCTGGGGCACATTTGTATTTAATCCTCCTTGTTGCCCCGGCAATTAAAGCCACCTCTCTGAACTCTTTGGAAAGACCGCAGACACTCCGTCTGGCATCAAGATAATCGTCGGCGATTTTAATTTGCCAGAAGTTGACTGGAAAACAAAACTTCCTCTTTCCAAATCCGGAAGTTTCTGGACAGCATACACTTTTCAAACTGGTCCCGATTAGTCCCCCTCAACAACCAGAAATGATGGGATGGTAAATAAAATTTTTAATTGTGAAATCCATCGCCACATTTTAACAAGTGGTCATGCATTAATTCAACGCTGTCATCCAGCTTTCACATCTGCGAAGCTAGCAGCAAAGCGTAGCTGTTTCCACTATGCTAATACTGACAAGGAATCAGTTATTAACTTTCAAGAACTTCCGATTTGCACACTATTTTCTCAAATAATGAATTGAACTTTTCCCTGCGATTTATTGCAGTGCGTAAAGTATGGTCGTCTCGATCGTATTCCATGAAAATGTTAAAATCAAACACTGCTTATTCTGCTGTCCCAAACTCTTTTAAAAAACAAGCTTAATAAACTACAAAACCAGCTTAAAGACCTCTTTATAAGCTCATTATCGGTTCACTTAAGAATCGTAGAAATATTTTAATTTGTTTCGAAAATGAGGCTCTAGCAAGATAGGCACAGAGCGTCCTTAGCTATAAGTGATGCAAACCCTTATAAATCTGTTGTCCAGATCTTCCATCTGAAATCGTCAACTAAGCCCGATCAAGTCATCCCGATTTTGTCTAGCTGCAGCAAATCATTATTGCAGACGAGTTGGAGAAGCAGAACTGTTAAATTCATTTTTCTCCAAGAATTTTACCGTTGAAACTGACCCTACATTCTCAATCCCTCCGTTGTCTGATGCTTCCCTCACAACCATTAATTTTGCTTCTGAGAATATTAAGAAATTGATGAGCCAGCTTACTAACTTTAAATCAGTAGGAACTGACAACATCCTGAACTTTCTTATTGAACAGTTGGCAGATTTTCCTCCTCTGCCTAGTAAACTATTTTCAATCTTTGTCTAGAGTGGTTTCTTTCCTGATTACTGGAAAATTCCCATTATTATTCCGGTATTTAAACCTGGCTGTGGTTCTGATGTCCAAACTTGCCGGTGTTCAATGTTATGTATGAAAAACAGATGGTTAGTTGGAAATAGGATGTGTACTGAGTACGGGAGATCGAAAAAATGAAGAGGCTTGTGGAAACGGCCGGGTATATTGCAGGGGGTTGGGTGGTTAATTAGCGCAAAGAAGGTGTGGACAGGGGTACATGACCCCGATCGTTCTCTTGTCACGCGTTTGCGGCATAATGTCCTGTCCGCTCGGGTAGCATACGCTATATCTCTCCACCGTAAAATGGAGAGCATGGAAAGAAGGAAGGAAACAGTAAAGGAAGCAGTGGAGAGCTTAACAATGTTCTAATGGAATTCGTCCTGAACGCTTTGAACGGGTTTGCGGATTCGGGTCGATCTTCTCAGGGCGGTATTTTCGACCTCTGTGTCTCATTGTGGAGTCACTGGTTCCTCTGCCCCTAAGTCAGTGCCGACCGGGATAAAAGAGGGAAGAGGAGGAACACACGCCTCTGTCGGTGGCGTACTGCTCTGTGCAGGCAGTAGGTGTTCAGTCCTCGGGATGTCAGGATCTCTATCATGGGTAGATTGTAGTTCAAGCTTTCCGAATTCTAACGCGATGTCTAAAGTCTCTATATGACTATGTTCAGATGGGCCACTGACTAATATATCGCCAAGATATGCGCAAGCGTGAGGTATATCATTCACGAAATTATTAATCAAGCATTGAAATTAACCGGTAACAGGGCTTACTCCAAATGGTACTGTCTTATGTCGAAAAAAACCCCGATGCGTATTGATGGTGGTGGCGCCTCGGGACTCAGCATCTAGGACGACTTGGCGGTAAGCATGCTTTGGGTCCAAAGTTTCAAATTGCTAACCACCTTAGAGGGATGCGTAGAGATCCTCGATGCGTGGGAGAGGATAAGGGCTCAACTTAGTTGCTGGGCTGATTTCCAGCTTGTAGTCGCCACATATACGCATAGAACCATCGAATTTTAGAACAGGAACTATTGGGGCTGCCCATTCCGAATATTGCACGGCCTCGCTAATGTCCGCATTCTGTAGACGGTCCAGCTCTTCTTCGACCTTAAGTGCGACTGCATAGGGAACTATAGAGCTTTGAAGAATCGGGGCCGGAAATCTGACTGAAACTGAAACTTAAGAGGTGGATCGCGGTGGTGGGTAGCAGAATCGTCACGAAATATTTCCTTATGATTTACCAAAATGAAATCTAAATCCGGATTTACACCAATCTGATGCACACACGATATCACAGAAGGGAAGCATTTAATCCAGTCCTGTCCGATGAGATTTGGTTGCTGGCTTTCTCTCACAACATGAACCGGCAAGTAATGAAATTCCCTCTCGTGCTCGACTTCGGCTGTAAAAATCCCTCAAACCTCTACGTTCTGTCCAGTGTAACTACGGAATGTTGAGCTAGCCGGAAGGAGGGAGGGTACTTTCTGAAGACAGGCCTCATTTATGAGAGTAACAGCTGAGCCAGTGTCGGTTTCAAACTTCACGGGATGGCGATCAACTGGATGCGTGATGGTGTAGGGCAATCGGAGCGGCACATTGGACGAAAACATTCGGAGTATCGTCTCGCCATCCCCAGCTGGATTAGGGTATTTCGCATGCGTGTTAGAGTTCGCTCGTCATTTGGAGAAGCACACTTGTTCGATGTGGCCGATTTTCTTGCAGAACTGGCAAACCGTCTTTTGGTGTCTAAAGTCTGACCACCGCATATTATGCTGACCACAACGGTAGCAGGATGATAGTTTTTTTGAGGGAGCTGATGGTCGCTGTTAAGGTAGAGACACAGCAGTGTTGACCAAGGAGACAGCCACTTCAGATTCCAAGGATGATATCACTCCATCGGTTGAGTGATTCAGCCGCCGAAGGTTTTGCCGTACGCGCTCCTGATGACTGGCGGTATCACAGACTTTCTCCCATGACAAATCCTTCTTCTCTGATGATAGATTTTTCCGAGCCTTTTTATCGCGCAGACCAACGATCAACTGCTGAACGAGCATTGCGTGCTCGAAGTTGTCTGCTTGATCTCTTTATACCTGCAGTTCTGGATGGCCAGAGTCCGATTCGTAATAAAACCACTGATACATTGATTGGATTCTTGACGCATCTGATAAAGCCAACAGCGACTGAGAAAAACGTTGTCTTATCCTCCTTACGCTGTGAAGGCTGCTTGGAGGTCTGGAGACTCTTGTGGAGGCTGTTTGGAGATCTGTAGCACCTTGTAAATCGAGGGCATCGAAATATCGTTGTACTAACTCTCCGAGATTCGTCCGAAGGTGTTTCAACTTAGATGGGACTTCTAGAACAATCGTGGGTGACAAAATCGGAAGTAGTTCAATGCAATCCTCAAATGCCTTCCTCCATTTCAACCACGAGGTATTCGAGGGCTTCTGGGTGTTCTTTGGTCAGAAAGGTAACGGTGTGGGCAGCAATGAAGACATGCTCGTTAGGCTGCGTTGCCAATGTTATGTATGCAAAACAGAGAGCTAGTTGGAAATAAGACGTGTACTGAGTACGTGAGACAGCACAAGCGAGGAGGCTTGCGGAAACAGCCGGATATATGACAGGAGGGAAATTCATAGGCTGACTGGTGGCCAATTAGCACAAAGGTGTGAACAGGGGTACATGACCTTGTGTAACACCCCAGCAGACCTGACGGACAGAAACCCCCTTGTTTTAATGGCACTCACTCTTTTTGTAGATCGATCGTGAGGACTACTCACTCGAGTCGTTCACCGGTGATGATCAATCTGATAAGTCCGATCGTTGACAACTTTTCGTTTATCTGTTTCTTGTTGTGCTTTGATCCTTATGCGTCTACAGTTTCATCTTTTCCCAGATTTTTGAACTACCTTTTGCGTGTTTCCTTGTGCATATCGAGTTTCTAATGTTTTCGTTCCCGACTATTTTTCTATCGTTCGTTATCGCTCGTTTTTCACTGTCATACATTATCTCTCACGGCCAATAAACTGTTTACATCTTCCATTCATCGTCTAATGCTCATTATTTGCCTATGTGTCTGCAAACGAATGCCTGTATCATGGATACCTTAGGCGCGAACACTCAGGAGTCGGAGTCCCTGACCAAGAAACGGAAGTTATACTCAGACCCTATTGATCCCCAGACCGTTCCCTCACCAAGTTCCCAGGACATTATATTGGTGGCAGACGGTGAGCGCGCCGGCCCTTTCCCCCTTCCACAACCGAACCAACCCACCCATCCCGCCCAACTGTCTAACGCCCTACACTCCTACGGACATAGCCCCCGACTAGTCCCCGAACTATACGAGCCAGGACAGAACATCCGAGAGTGGCTCCAAGACCTATCTCTCCTCCTAGTGAGCGTCCCTCCTCACGAACACGTATGCTACCTCTTACGCTTTTTGTCACCCCCCGCCCGTAGGCTAGCGTTTGACGCCGGCCTAACCCCCACATCTGACTTCCGAAAGGCCTCTGAAGTTCTCTTGCAACTCTTTGCCAGCCCCGACGCATCGGCCATAGCGAACCAGCGGTTCGCCACACTAAGACAACGACCCGGACAATCAGTTGATGACTTCGCCCACGACCTACGACGTCTGGCCGCTGCGGCTTTCGCCAATCACCCAGAAACTGATCGCGACCGGTTCATTTTACACCAGTTAATCACCGGCCTTAGGGACCGCACCGCCAGCGGTGTCCTCTTGTTACACCCACCTGCCAGCCTGTCATCGGCTATCCAACAATGTCGGCTCTATGAAGAGTGTTACCCGAGAGCAAATGGGCCCACACACCGCACCAACAGCCCCACCCGTACGACTCCCCCACCCAGCAGACGGTCTTCCGCCCTACCAGTATGATTTCCGGACCACAACCCCGGATGCCCCTATTGCGCAGCGTTTGGACCCCAAGCTCGGCGATGTGGACACAACCAGCCAAGTAAGTCAGCCTTCGTTGCTCCTACCTACCTGGCTTTATCATCGCATCCACCCCCTTTCACAATACCCGCTACGCTAGACGGTCACAGTATAGTAGCCTTAGTAGACACGGGCGCCAACGTTTCCCTCGTGAATAGCCAGCAAAGAAGCCTCATCGTCGCATTTCACCGCGCTTTGGTAACTCCAGCCTTTCACGTCCCCATCCTCGCCTGGACTCTAAGCAGACCATGACCGATCGCGTTGGGTCCCTCCTATCTCACCACCTTGAAAATTGCGTTCTGCTGTCCAAAAATATTTGGATCGCATATACAGCGAATAGGCTCACCCGGCTTGGGCATGTAAACTTGATGAGGACCGCTTTGAACCCCTACATACTCATGTCTGCGGAAAGGTCCTCTCCGACCGCATATTCACCTTCCCATGTCTGACAGTTTTTTCCACTTTAAGACTAATTAAATCACATGTTTTATCTTTTTTAAAAAAATGGAGGAGTTTTTTCACTGTTTACTGACTGTTTTTCATGCCAGGCTGCCTATTTTGTATGGCCGAGCTGAGTACTGTATAGCGTCTGCCTACGTATTCTAAAACCCGATCGACATCTTGTTTTTACTTACTACGAAAGTACCCTTAGGGGCACTAAACAAAACGATGTATTTAGTCATTTATATAGAAGTTTGCGGACTCCAAAAATGCATATGATACGTTTTACAACGGCGATCAGACAAAAAGCTATAATAGGAAGTGCTAAAAACTTGGTTGGCTATGCAATGATCGGCAATTTTGATGGCAATGATTCTTTTAAACAGTTTAGCGAGAGAAGACGTTATATGAACACTCCAATAATTTTAAACATCAGAACAAGAGCCAGACTTAAATACTAGAATAAAAATAGGCGTGTTCCAATAACGCGAAAGGAAACCATCCTGGAGAAGGACTGGGAATAATTTTCTCAGCAGAATAGAAAAACCTTTTAGTTGTTGCATGTGAGAGTCAGGGGTGCCGTCAGTTCCAACCGAGTGCGAGTTACTGAGCCCTTACGTCTGTACGTTAATGTTTCCTTGGCTATACCTCCTCCGTCTGTAAGCGTTCTCGCCATACTGGACTTTCTTCCTAGCCAACTTCTCAGCGAAGCAGCCGGGGTCACATTGACGCGCACGCTCTAAACTGCCCACCCCGTCGGAGTTCCGTCTCTGGCCACCGCAATGTCGAGGCCTCAATCAAATCGCCGGTCTCACTCTGAGTGTGCTACTATCTAGCATTCACCGGCGCATTATAATGATATCTTGTCCCAACTTGCTGAGTTGCCTTAGTAGTTTCATCCTATCTTCCTCCATATCATTTCGCAAGGTAGTTCTTTCTCCTGAACATTTTTTCAGAAGTGACGGTTGACTGAACCCATCCTCCACGTTTAATTTTTGAGAGTTTTTTCTTACTGATTCGTTCGTAGCTCGCCGTTTTTTGTTTATCGTGCATGACACTCTTAGGCGGAGAGTTTAATTTTCTTTGACACTGCGCCCAAGCCCTTATCTGATCGTAGAGACAAGTTATTCCATCTAAGCCAGTTGGGTGAGGGAGGAAAGAGTGCGGCAGAGGCTGCGCATTTCTGCCTCAAGTCGACAGTGCTCTGTCCACTACGTGGAGCACACCATGAGCACTGGTAGGAGAGGGCGCGTAATACAGGCGGAATAGCATTACCAACATTTCCATAGGGGTTTGCTCCATAAAAGGCAATAGTAAGCTTGCCTGACGATACGTTCTCTCAGCGAACTTAAGCTTTTAGCGATAAGCAAACATATTTTGGGCATCCGTGACATATTTCTTTTGAGTGTCCTGTTGTGCCGCGTGAGTCGCTAGTTAATATTTTTAATATTAGCCAGGTCACTCTCTGGAGAATCATTAATAATATAACAGTGCCAAGGACTAAGCAAGGTGAACCAAAACAATCCGAAGAGACGCGGCATACCAGGAACGTCCGCCGTTGAAGAGGGAGGGTAATTTGCTAAGCTGACTTTTCCAACTGCCTCTTTAAGCCATTGTCAGAGACTTACAGACGGGGAGAAATAGCCAATCAACTGACCTTTGGGCTTCTGCGGCGCATTCCGTCGACCCATCCGCATGCCCATCAAACCTCCTAACTCCCGGAAAAATCACCAGTTCAATCTCACATTTCTTACTAGAACTACGAGGTCAGAAACAAAATCAATCCAACGGATCGCCAAGTACCTCGTCGCTCGACAAAGTACCGTCCAGCACATCCTGTTTGCTGTTCGCTTACATGCTGCTTAACACGTTTCAGTAGCGAGTTTTTATGTGTTCATCGTTTTGTCATAGCACGCATGCATTAACACACTAGTACTTAACAGGCAGTTACATGCATGTTGCATGCAATTCTATAACCAATATTCTTCCCAACGTTCTTTATGCATTAGTGTATTTCTTTTTCGAAGTTACTGTAATCAACAGAAAGTTAAAAGGACTTCGCCTACCTTCCCCTTAGTAAAACTGAACTGATAGTCTAATTCGACGCACATTTATAAGGTGGAACGTGAAACACGGCGCGGAACAGAGAGCTCCGCAACGAAGATTGAAACCCCCACAACGTATAAGACATGGGTTAGATCCCCAAGCTCACACATTCCGTGGCTCGTTCGGATTCCCGGATTGCTAGGACGAGTACTACACTGGCAACATATTACTTGCTGTAGTGGTACCATTCGCAATACTAGTTCAGCCGATACAGGATTGTGTGCTCACGTCGTCATGAAAGATCGTCCCCCCTTGTGGTCTGAGGATAGCAAACTTCTCACCGCGGTCAAACTGGCTGGAAAGTCAGAAGGCATCTTCAGCCTGCTCTCTCTTCATCACCTCGAGCTGTTTCCGGCCATTTCCGGGATAGGGCACGCAACATAATCAGCAGCGATTCCCGCTGTCAGTCCAGACAATTCGCCCTCACACTTAACCTTAATCCTGGGTGATTCACAAAGTTTGCTGTACTGTAATTTGTAACGCTTAGTAGAAGACGCCCACGTTCTTATAAGAGTTCCCAGTACAACAGGCGGCGATAAAACCGTCCCGAGTCGCGGCTTAATCCTGTTTTTGGGTATCCGGGAAATAATGGCCCGCCCTTCGTGGTCCAATAACCTATATCAGCTGGCAGCAGCCCAAAGTCGGGTTTAGACAAGACGCTGCCACAGGTCCGTCAGTTAGTACTGATGTAGTTTTTAACTGGGCGTTTTTGGGGTGAAACTCCAACAGCTGGCCAGAAAGCTTTGAAGTCGACCTTGATACATAGCACAGAAACCGATTCTTAGACCCTTAAGCACAGCAGAGAAATAATCAGTAGCAGAATCGTCCAGGCTGGCTCATGAAAAGCGCATGATGGCAGAATCGACAACCTGACTGGACCCCGGAACACGAGGCGTGTACGGCGTAAACAGCCCGTTTTGATGGACCACAAATAAGAAAAATCGACCGGCGAATTGCATCTTAAGCAAGTGAGGCTGCCAGTGTCAGGAAGGGGTGTGGGGGGGGGACGTTGACGTGGAAAACTCAAAGTCGAGAAGAAAGTCCTGCGATGAGGACTTTAGGTCGCGTGGGCCAAAAAACCCTCGGGCCACAAAACCTGTGGCGACCAGCATATAAGTAACGAAGAACAGTGGCAACTGCATAAATTATATTATCAAAAAAGGATAAAATAGAGACAGGGGCTACGTGCGGGGCACTATCATCGACACACCAGACGGGCATGGTCCACCCGGCCGGGGACAACAAGAGGACACAGGAGCTCCATCAAACCGGAAACTTCCTTTGGGAGGGAGTCATCTGCGGGACTGCCGACGGCGCTGACTTCCACCATGTAGCTGCGAGGCAGGAGATTGCGCCAGCTCTTTGGCAGAGCCTACAAACAAAGAGATAAACTGACTAACAGTTCACGCCCAGGGGACACAATGAGGTCTCGGCAGAGTTACGTATGACATATGCCAGCACCAACTATGGGAGCTTGACGGCGAGGGCTCAGATCGATCAAACTCCGGGGCGGGGCAGCCTACATCAAGCGCAGAGTTAAGACTGCGCGCCGCTGTATCAATTGAGAGAAATTTAAACAAAGGTGATGCGCTATCCGCAAGAACACGTCAGAGTGATTTAACGGTACATATCCCGGCTCGGTATATTAATAACCTAACTACTTGGGTGCTAAACTATTCGAAACTCTCGCATGATAAAGTTTCCAAGAGGGGCACTACTCTGTAATGAACTGCGTCAATTCTTCTTAGGGCATATAACGGATTTTGTGTAAACACCCAGTCCATGACTTCGAAAAGTGAATCCCCTAAATAGGAGCATGTTTGGGTGCCACCTTTCACCCAACCCCCACACGCACTCAACGAAACTGAGCATAAAAGTGTCGAAGCTCAATTTTCGGCCAAACCTTTTTACGGGTGGATGGAGGACAGCAGGTTAACGGTAAGGCTCCAAAAAATTGGCCAGATGTATCAATGTTCGCCCCAGAACTTAAGATTTCCTACGACCACGCTACTGAAATATCATCAACCGTGTGTTTGTGGCATTAGTTAATGATTCATGGTGAGTGAATAGCTAACCTGTGCAAAAACAAGGCTTTCAAAAACACTGCTAATTGGCCTCGGAGTGTTCTGAAATACATTTGCGCAACATTTCTTTGAGGTTGGGTAATGAACAGAAAAACCGGCGTGCTGAGATACACGAACTATCTTTAGATTCTGTTTGGTGCATGTTAATACTATGAACCTCTCTCATTAATAAAAACATTTCAGATTTGAAAGACTTTTGAGAATCTCAGCAAACATTTCATGTGTCTCTGAGACTACTGAAACAGTTGTGTGACAGTTAAGACTGCCGTTGTCCTGGCATTAATTCCGCCTCTGCATTCGCTGCAATCGCATAACAGAATGCGAGACTCACCACACCACTCTCGTGGCTGTACTGTTCCACCTGATTCACCGAGTACACAAGCACCTTGGCCCGGCCGCGAATAAAAATGTGGCCCTCAGCGACAAAATCGAAGTCCTTTTTGAAGCCGAGACTGCAGAGGAAACTGACCAACGGTCCACTGGTGGGCACCTCGAGACAACTACGACGGAGCACCTGGAGGGTAGGGAAGGCAGGTGAGGTGAGAGAAAGTCAAGGCTGCAGTTTTTATCGTTCACACTCTTCCTCCAAAAAGGAAACATCTGCTGAGTGTGATTTTTAGCGTTAAAACGCGACACTGAAAACGCAGGTGACATCTAATGGAACTGCGTTCCAGCAGTCGCACCGTACGACATTAGGCGTTATGGTGAGAAGATGCAGGAGAAGGAAAAGTCAGAACCGGGGAGGAAGTAATTCATAATTTTGAACTCTTTAATTGCGGAAAGCAACAAAGCAAAGGAGTAAGCTAGGCCAACCAGTCCGGCTCTGAGTTTCTGCGGCGGGTCCAACCGGCTAAGACTAATCGACGAATCAAAAAACTAGCAGGGGTAGCTCGTTCATCGAACTTTTTCACCAATATCTGGAGGGGCAGTTAATTTAACTTCGCATTTATCATCAGAACTGCGGTAGCAACGTACTGAATCGAGCGAGATGGTTGTCTCATTCGGCGTTACGTCGCTCGGTAAGGGTAGGCTACGGACGGGTGTTGGGTTATTTAACTACACATAACTAACTACTACATTTTATTCAGTAGGCCCACATGGGGTATTCTTTTGGGGCAAGTTTGTCTTTCGGGTGGCGTGTGGGACACTGTACTGGACACCAAGGACTCCGCAGCGAAGAGCAAAGCCCCTCCTCCCCCTTCCTGAGCGCAGTGCACACAATACATTTCTCTAGGTTTTGAATCGCCTCAGAAATGAATTATTAACTTGAAGTAAATCAGTCGGAAGTACGCTTTATAGGCTCAATTCAAAAGTCGATATGAATTTGGAACCAAAATCCATCAACTACAGCGGAATAACCGCATGCTATTCATAAACTGCCAACATGCAATCAGTAGTATAGACATGTTAAATGATTTGCCGGGCTGACAGCTAGTACCTGCGCTGTCAGTTCATCTGTCGCTATCACATGCGTGACCCTATCCGTCCCCATTTAAGTATGTTAAGCGTAAGCCACGGCCAAGGTAAGATAGATGCATACATTGAGGGGCAAAAGCAGTCATTTTATCGATTTGTGTTGTGACGACGCCGTGCTCGACCCGACTCGGTTTGATTGCCTGATTAGTGGGCGTGCGCTTGCCGGAAAGACCAAGGCGCAGGCAGGCACACACACACTGCATCTGTGCACGTGATCGGCTGGTGTGTGCACCCACCTGGTGGATTAGAGAAATTTAGGACATACTGTCCAGTAAGTCTTTGACTTGCGTCGAATGCACGCATCGAGCACACGACAGCGTGTATGTGTCCCAGAGCTCTGGTCAGGGTTAATGGCATTCAGTGGTATTGTCGTGGCGAGTCTTGAACGCGTCGGGCTCAGGGCAGTGGACAAGACAATCAGCGCATGGGATGAAGTCAATAATCAATAAATGGATAAGTCTAGCTCAATCGTGTTACCACATCCTCAGCTGCCAGGCTGAATGACAGTTCAACACCCAGGTTGGAGATTGACACAAAGGTCGACAAAACTGGTCAGAGACCAAACTCGGAACCGATTGGCTTGGTTGCTTTGTTGCTTGCTGCCTCAACTTCAACATCAGCGGTCTTCGCAAACTTTTCTTCGCATTACAGGTCGAATTTACAGGTAGCTGATGCCGGAAGTAAACGCCTAAATTCATATTGCGTTCGCGTGGACTCCTTTCGTTTCGGTATCAAAGATCGGCAGCAGGGTTAAAGGGAGACCCGCTCCTAGCTAAATCATCCACATCGAGAGCCACGGCACCTAGCCTTCCTTGCCACATTTAAATCGATACAGTGGTTGGCAGTTCTATTCGCTGACGCCAGGTTAATCAAACAACTCGACCATCGGAGCACGCATTCGGCCTTCAGCAAACCAATGAGCGCGCAACGGGCCGCAGCGGAACCAATGAGGGTCGGAGCTGTAGTCAACTCAGTAGCGACGAAAGCAGCGCGTGTTAGTACAACGGTGGGAGTTGGTGAAAGGAAGGGCGGACAAAGGGGGGGGGGAAGATGATAACAACGGGAGGGGAGACCTACAGTCTTCTCGGATTCCACTGAACCGAGATACCGGAGGACGGGTAAAGCAGCAGCGGGATTATCGCCGGCAGGCAGGAGACTGCGACGCACACGGACGGAGACGCTGCTACCAGTTGCACCGGCGGCGCCCGCGATGGGATTGGCCACGCTCGTGTTCGGCACCGCTATTGAGAATACCTCCTCAAAGTCCACGAACCGGGAGCGTTCGCGGCTGAGCCCACTCAGGCGGGTCAACAGAAGATCCAACTGACCGGCTGCAATAACGGCCTGTAGCAGAAGAGAAGACGTAAATATATATCGAAATAAACGCAAAAACGCGCATTCATCATGCTGGAAAGCTAATAAAGTGCATGGTTAGCAAGAAATGGCTGGTTTTGGTCTAAATGACAGAGAGCAATGTAACAGGGATTAGTACACAGTGGAAATTTCCGTCAGCGTGCAGGTGGAAACAACCATACAAAGTAGGTACTAGCTAAAAGCCCAAACATGCGTTTCAACAGTGTTCCTGTTGCTAAATTATGCAGCTCTGAGGGGTTCAGCTACTCCGTAGGCCTTCCAGCATCCTCTACATGGTCTCTGGCATAATAACTCCAGGTCTTTGACGCTGAGTGTCTGGAACGCGACTTTTTTAGGGTCAGCCCTGAAATCGTAATGCAAATTTGAGTGGGAGACAATAAAATTCTGCTGGACAACCACGTAATGTCCATTCCACAAATAATTAGTACCGCTGGTGGCAGACATTTGAAAGGCAGTGGGTTAAACACGGGAGGGCCGAGCTTCTCGCAGCTGCACAATGCAAAAATAGCAACATCGGCAGACCGCGTGCATGGGGTTTCAACTAAAACCCCTGACCGGATTCTGAAAAGTATTTCAGAGTAGAAAGAATTGCGTGGATGGGGTTGTAAAATTGATCATCGTGTGGAATAGTCACAAGATAATTCAGAATGAGCTTCTTTCCGGTGGCCTGCAGGATGTGCATTCGGTAAAAAATAGTCACTTAAGTAGCAAGAATTTTTCTTATTTACTTTCTATACCCTTATTAATTTACATACGTTTTATAGGAAGCATGCATAAAAATATTCTTTCTTACACTCAGTTGGTAGCATATAACGTCTTCTTAGAATATTATGATTGATTAAAAAGCATCTTTTGGTTTTAACAAGTCTATTCATACAACATCGTATCTGTTCGTTTATTGATGATGCTTGCGAAGTATACAGCATGGTCCACATTAACTGCAAATTCTTATAAACCTCACTTGACATCTTCTGAAGAGCTCTGAGGAATATAATCTTTTCTGCACGGAGAGTATACAGCATGCTGCTTGGAACCCCAAAACGCAAGTGAGGCTGCAGGTCGGATCCCAAATTACTCGCGAATTGAAAACGTCTTTCAAAACCGAAAGACGCCCCTTCTTCAGGTACGATATTTGACGAAGAAGTAGTCCGCTTGCCCAACAAGTACACAAAAGAACATTCTTGGCCGTGTTTGCCACTAAAAAATATACCTGAATTTATAGGGGCATGGAAAATCGATCGAAAAATTTTTACACTACTTAAACAGCCATCTTTACCAGGTGTGATCTTACAAGCAAGTCGAATGTGCACCCCTCGCCAAGCTTCTCTTTGTACCATTTCGAATGATCTAGTTCATGGCGGTGTTCGGCTAAACGCACTTGAATGCATGAGTACGTGCTAGAAGTCGTGGCCGGGTTAACTGGGTCCTCATGTTAGTTACTGGCTGGAGCACCGGGAGTCGGCCTAATGGGTCATTTTTTAGGGAGCTCTCACACCCTGTGTGAGAACTGGGTCCGTTCTGCGGAAACCAGGTCATGTGTGTGGTACGCGTACACGGGCTGTTTGACTTTGTCAACCAATGCGCCTGGGCCCCCCCCGGTCGTCCTTTGTGCTGCCCCCATGACCAGGTGGGCGAGGGACGGGTGTGGTAGATACTGTGCAAACCCACTGTCACTACAAACTAATTCACGCGCAAGTCACCGTGCTGCACCTACCACGCCGTGAAGTACACGGCGAACATCGTTGCATGAGACGGTCAAACTGTCTTATGACGATAGGGTGTTGACGGGGGGTTAACCTTTAATGATAGTGCCCGCTGTCAGAAGAGTATAGGGGCATTCTGTTCTGACTGAATAACTAATTCCCTAATCTGATAACATCGCAGTGCAATAGATTCGAGCAAAGTCTGCTCTTACATGCCTACCTGAATGAACGACTCCTGCATGGTAGCGCCTTTGGCGACAGAGCTGGAGCCGGCAAAGTTGCTAGACATTGAGAGGCCTGCAGCAATAGATGGGTCTAGACGGGTAGGATCACCGAGTCCCGTTGCCAGGACTGAGGTCGGCGCTTGACCTTCAGGTCCCTCGAAGAGGAAGGGTCCCGGTGTATCCGAGTTGAGGGGACCGCCGCCGCCACCGCCGCCGGCCTTACGGGCGGTCGGGCCTGGCACCGGCCGCTTCTGCTCGTTGCCCGAGGTAGAAATTACATTCATTGTGGAAGGCAGTGAGTAGGATCCACTGTCCATCTAGATGCGGCCAAAGGGAACAGGAGGTAGGTGCGAGAATCAGTTAGAGGTTTTGCATCACTAATCTGTCTATTCATTTTTTCCATCGACCTGGTGTCTGGTTACGCCCCCCAGATACTCGGACTGTGGGTGGTCGAAATTTGAGGTGATGTCACGCAGAACACAAGTATTTCGGTTATGGGCAGAACGCCAGTCGAAGCATCTGTGCAAGTTTTGATTTCGAAAGCATACTTACAGGGGCAGTTCGACGGCAGATTTGGCCGAGGGTTGGCTGTGAGAGTGATTTCTGGCAACTAGAGCCCCTAAGAGGAACGCCTGACGATGGGGGGTTTTGCGGTGAACGCCCTCAAAGGGGAGTTTCAATGACAGAATGGTCTGGACTACAGCGGAAGGAAGGAGAGTGAAACCCGTAACCCTTGATGCACATCAACCGGCGTATCCGACACTTCCCAACGGCATATATTGAGGACCCTTGACCAAAAGGTCCGACGACTTTATAGTGCGGTTGACGGCATGGTCAGACAGACTGATCAGTGTCGGATATCAAGGGCTACCAGACTTGAAAGACTACGAAACTACTGCTGACCGATTGGTTGAAGGCGAGACTATGCGGTTGGCCCGCATGTGCACATAGAAACGCGACTTTACTTCTAAGCCGCAAGGCACGCCTGTACATAGGGAAGACATGTTTCAAGCACGACTGAAGGACGCTGTCCGTGGCAACTGATCGGATGAGATTAGGGCTTCGGTACCGGCGTCGAGCGGTTGAGGCCAATTCGTGCAGCGGCCCACAACAAAACCAACGTTCTCGCCTGGAGAGCATCCACCATGCTCCCACTCACGGGCTTCAGCCCATGTGTGCTCGCACCCAGTGGTACGCCGTCGTCAAGGTCAATACCCTTTATCGCGAGCTTACCTAGCCTCCTCCTAAAAAATTCAACCCAGAGGTGACAACCTTCCAGTCAAGAGGTCATGTTCGCCCACGCTGTCATCGTTTAAGGCAAATGGGTCGGCAAAGTCCACCCAATCACAGGTATTCATGACTCTGGTATCCAGTCTACGCACACCTGGATAGGAGTGCCTTGACTTAAAACGTACAAACCCATGGGAACAACGCATGCATTGTAATTGATGGCACAAGCGCTGGCATGGCCAGCGGGCGCTGCAGCCAAGATTCTGTTCAGAGTAAACTGCCCTCATTCTACTAGATTGAACGCGGAGCAGGTTTATGCACACAGGGCGTCACAACTGACGGCGTCTGTGTGCATAACTTGCACCGTATGCAGTTGGGTGCCTACGACCGGTCGGTCGTATTTCGACACCCCCATTGTCCACTCTCAAGCTCGACTCGACATGCGTTGCCAGCTAACCGAGAAGATGACAACAATCCAGTTTCGTCTTGCAGGCATGCTGGCACAACGGGTGGGTACAAGGAGCTGTGGCTGTGTAGTTATCCATGCCTCAAGCTGGCAGAGAAGGGAGAATTGACGATTGGTCCTAACATCCGCCCTCCATGGCAGTCGGGTCGGTTCGAATGCGCCGACCGAAACGAATTTCTCTCATTGACTAGAAGAACTCTCACATTCGGCCGAGCAACTACCCAGACGCATTCATTTACGTCCAACTTGGGGTGCAGGATGTCAATTGGCCCATAGGAAACCGTTCGTAATTATGATAGGGGGGCTGATTTGGTAAGGAAACACCAACAACATATGCGCCATTCCGTCAACAAAATGGTCCAGGTCGAGGATATACAGAATGAAGAAGTCTGAGTACACAGCAGAACACGCAAAAGAACAGAAGCGGACCATAATTCATGAATTGTATAATCTTAAAAGAGTGAAGAGAACGGGTAATGCAAAACCAGACAGTGGGGCGGCAGGAGTCATTGTGGGGAAGGGTGAAGGCGGACAAGTAACCCGCTGGCAGAACCACAGCCAAGAGAAAAAATATAGATATAGATGTGATAAGTTGGGAAGAGAGAATAGGCGTCGGATTCGTCAGCGCTTCGTTGGGGTTCCGCCCATGGATGGCGCAGAGGGCTTGCTGGCAAACATGAGGTGGTGATAGTTGGGGAGGATTTTGCCCAGAAAGTCCAATTGCAGCGCCTGTGTTGGGGGCCGTTCACCAGCCACACGTCGGTCACACTACAAGAGGCATTTCAAAAAATTACGCCCAAAGTATTTACTACTCACAAAAGTTAACAAAACTTGCAGCAACAAGCTGGTCCGACAGCATAAGGCGGTAACCGAAAAAACTCCGCCTGTATAAGAAAGGCCTCTGATTGCCCGAAAGCACAAAAGATGGGGCCGAATGACTGGGTTTTCGACTTTTTGCCGTCTTATCTCACGGCATGTGGGATCTCCTAAGTTCGACATACAGTAGGTGGGCTAACTCATGAAATGTCAACCGAAATTCCGAAATGCGTTCTCGGTTCGAAAAGGTTAGTTAAGTAGGGTTGTAAATCTAGTCGGCCTACAACATAATTCTGTAATATGTCAGTTACGCCAAGATGCCGGCTGCATGCAAAAACTACACTCTGTAAAAAAGATTACTTAAATAGCATGAATTTTTCTCATTGATTTTCGATACCCCTAAAAATTCAATTATATTTCATGGAAAAAATGCATAAAAATATTCATTCTTTTGCTCATTCAGTAGATAATTACGTCTTCTAGTTTTATACTCGAAGGAAGGGTATAATTCTGTTTTAAAAAAGTTTCTAATTGTGGGACTTTTAAATGCCGTGAAATGGTCGCCCATAAATCGTCATGTCTCTGCATTTACCGATGTGGCTTGTAAAGTTAACAATATGGATCAAATCCATTGATAAATTTTATTAACCCTATATGGTCCCCCTTTATTGCCGTAGATAGATGTGTGGTTTTCCGTACGCGGAAACCATGCGGCCTGTAGTTTGCAAACCCTGAATGCGAGTGTAACAGCAGTCGGGTTCAAAATTATTCGGAAATTGGAAGTTTTTGAAAACCGAATTGTACCCTTCCTTCGAGTATAAACTTGGGAGAAGACGTAATGTTCTACCAAATGAGCGAAAGAATGAATATTTTATGCATGTTTTCCATGAAATATAATTGGACTTTTGGGGGCATCGAAAATCAAAGAGAAAAATGCATGTTATTTAAGTAGTCATTGTTTACAGAGTGCAGTTGTTGTATGCAACTTGAAGGAAGTTCGTTCGAAAGCCGGCATCCTGAGGTAACTGAAATATTATAGAATAGGTTTCAGGCTGACTAGTTTTACGACCCTACTTAATTCATCTTTTCGAAACGGAAACGCATCTCGGAATTTCGGTTGACATTTCGTGAGTTAGACCACCTACTGTATACTTCCAGCTGGAGGAGGCTCAGGGAATATGGGCTGGTGGACGTTGGGCTTCTGTAATCCGTCATCCTCCCGGGCCGCTGAGCGCGAACCTACGTACAAGTCTACACTGACCCGAGGAGTGATCCCATTATTGCTTTCTTCTGCACAAGTAAAGCAACCGCCCTGCCGGTACTATAGCATTCTAAGGACCGTCTAAGCAGTCAAATTACAGCTGACAGACTTTGCCTAGTAAATTTCAATGCTTTTGGAAATGAGAACTGGCAAAAGGCACAAAGCAGTAGATCCTGAGCGTTGGGTGCTGTAACGCGCTCACAGTCGACTTCAAGAACTATAGGAAACCATGCCGGCCACTGTTGCTGGTACTGGTGATAGTAACGACGGCTAATGATTTCGGCGTGAGTGGTGGTGTCAGCGTCGGCAGACAGGGCGCTGTACTAACTGTTGATAGATAAAACGCTGACACCACACCACACCACCTCCACTCTCTCCTCCCCCCACAGCCCTTGGCCCTCGAAGCGGCCTGACTGTGGTTTCGAGGGCTATCAGTAGATACTGGCCAGGCTGTTCTGCGACCCGGAGCAGAAGGCACAAGAAATTTCACGATCTGGTTTGACACTCCGATGAGTACTCTGTCAAAGCCTCGACCGACGGACAGATTCGGGAGTTGAAATATAAGACCGCCTAGGAGAGCATGCACATGTCCCGAGACCTTGGATTGCCCCGACAGAACGGCGTGTATGCATAGTGGTTTACTTGCCTTCCTCAACAAACTGTGCTCCAACGATGAATTGGGAAGACCTGAGATGCAAGTACTCCCGACGGCAGGCAGCATGGCGTGTGTGCGTGGTTCAACCGTAGAGCATCTGACTCAACTACTCAGTATCGGACTGGTCCCGGTTTAGACCTCAGGTCTCCCAGGCTTGGGGTTGGGCTGTGGTTGGCTGGGGACTGCAACCATGCGAAAAATGGACCGTCCAGTCCGTTTTGTTAAAAAACTTTCTCAATGATCGGATAATTTTGAACCCTACCTGCAGTAGCACTTGTGCCTAGGATTTCCAAACTACAGGTCGCATACGCTTTGTGAAGGGAAAATCATGCATTTGACTAGGCCAAAAAGAAGACGTCATTTAGGGCTCATTCAATTTTGCAATCGGTGTGGACCATGTTGTACACTTCATATTTGAATAGACATTTCTTAAAAAATCCCGTAATTACAAACTTTCTTAAAACCAAAAGATATCCCTTCTACAACCGTGGAATTTGAGAAAGAGGCAATTAGCTACCAAAAAGCGCCAGAAAAATATTCCAGTGCGTGTTTTCTGTGAAGTGCGTTTGCATTCATATGGGCATCGAACATCAGCGGGAAAAATGCATGCTAATTAAGCAGTTACTTTTTGCCAAGTGCGGTTTCTGCAGGCCGCCGGAAAGAAGCTCAGTCGAAAGATGGCGTCCTGGAGAGACTGCAATATCTTGGAATTATGTGACAGGATGCTCAGTGCTACAACCCACCCAGGTAATCCCGAATCGAAAACATAAGCCAGAATTTCCGTAAACATTTCATGACACGGGCCAGATGCTGTATGCTATGTGATCGTCCGTGGAGGCTGCTAATTGGGACTTTA